ATTATTATTATTAGAAAAAATTGCTGGCACCAAAATCAAAGCCCCAGCCTTGTACAGATATCTTCAGTGAAGAAGGGTACACAGTCCAGAGCTCCATCAAACAGGCTCCACCACACATTGGCAATTTACAGTCAAAATCCAGCCTCATGCAGTCTGAAGAGCTGGATTTGTTTGCAGGTAAACACATGTCCACACATCCACACACATGAAAAGTGAGTGAGTCTAATGAAGGCCACAAGTCCAAGGGTGATTGTCGAGTTTTTGTTTTTGAGTTTTTGAGTTGTTGTTGTTGTTGTTGTTGTTTTTAAAGAGAGAGAGAGTGTGTGTCTGTGTGCGCAGTGTTAATTGGTATGGTATTTTAATTTGAACTGAGATTGGATGTTTGAATTTATTAATATCATGTAATCAATTACTATTCCCATTATAAATAAATAAAATAAATATGCAGTTTGTCAGTTTTTAAAGCATAGGCTATGACATTTAAACAGTATCTTTAACAGAGAGCTTGAGGATGGCCAACCTGAGCACACAGAGCAGTATCAATTGAGCACAAGGTGCAGTGAATTACACACACAATGGTTTTCATGAGCATGGAGCAGTGTAGCAAACATGCAGAGAAACACACATGAGTGTTCTGTGAGCACTGAGAACAATACATTTCCTTTTAGGTCAGGGTTTACACTTTGCTTGCAAGTCAAGTCAAATAAAGTAAAAGAGACATAGCTTAAAGTAGAAAAAACCTTTATTTATTCTGAGAATTTGTGTTTAAATTGAAAGTAATACAAGTTAAATTGAAAATGTGTTTTTGGCTAGTTTTTTACTGCTACATTCAATAGAAATTTGCTATTAATATTGTGATTATTGTTGTTGATATTATTATTTCTATGTGTGTAAACACTTTGTGGAAATAAAAGGATAAAATTCATCATGACCTTCACCCCCACTGAAGTCCACATCAAGTTTAGCGCAACCCAAATTAATACAGCACAGAATTTGAATGTGCCATAACGAAATCTGTATAAATAACATATAAACATCCACCGAGAGAGAGAGATAGAGAGAGAGATCATGTGGCAACTTGTAGCTCTTAATCATTCTGCAAAGCACTGAGTATTAGGCACTTTGTTTTTGTTCAAACTAAGCATTTGCAAAATTAATGGGAGGAGTCAGTTTGCAAGTTCTGCACCACTGCTTTTGTCAGCCTGAAAATTTAACTTAAAATAACAAAAAGTGAGTGCTAAATCTTCCATCAGCTGAAGCATTTATGGCTTACAGGTATGCCAGGCAAGCCAGTCTATCCCACATTTATACAGCACCATTTCTTTTGTCATAACTGAATGATTAGTTTTATTTGTCTTAATGTATGGGTTTCTGCTGGCTCGCATTATTGATTTTTTTTTATTCATTAATTAATGGTAATAATAAAAAAGGGCTGAGTTTAACAAAATTTTCTCGATGTCCTGACCTAGTGAGCTAGCATGAGGATGTTTTTGATAAAGACGCCAAAGCACTTCTATAAGTCGCTCTAGATAAGGGCATCTGCTAAATGCTGTAAACATAAAAAAATAAACTTGACAGTATATTCCATATATAAAAGTGCAGTAATCCAAGCAAATTATATGATATGAAGTCGATCAAGTTGAGGTTTGCATTAGTCAGTCTTCTTATGTGTAAATTTACACACACTCAGGAGTAGAATTAAAAAGTTTTTCCGAATTTAAAGGATTTTTAAGAATGCCAAATTTCTTGTGTAAACGGTCATAAGAACGATTTACAAATGAATCTGTTATAAATCTGTATCCAGCTTGATAAATGAGGCCTATTGTTTCCAGTTTAATGGTGACATAAATGAGGTGCGGGACTGAGAGAGGGAGAGGGTGGTAGAGAAAAAGGGCGGGGGTAGAGCAGCACAGCACTTTGCAGCATGCCACACACAACATTGCCTAATCACTTACATTTAAAGGAGAATTAGGTAAGGGTGGTCTTTTTTTTTCATGATTAATTCTCTAACTGTTAACTGTGTGGGTTCACATTTGAATGACTTTGTTTTTTTTACTCCTTGAGCCCACCCCAATTCCTGTCTGTGTTCAAAAAGCTCTGCCCCAGGACCTACGGTGGCTGGTAGAGTAAAGTTCAGCTAGAGTCAAGTCAAGTCAAGTGGAGTTTATTGTCATTTCAACCATATACAGCCAGTTAGTACATAGTGAAACGAAACAATGTTTCTCCAGGACCAAGGTGCTACATGAGACAAACACAGAACAACACAGAACTACAAGGGACTACATAAATTTATACATAAAGTGCACAAGTGCAAACATGTGCAGACAGCACAAGACAGTACAATGACTACTGGGATAGACAATGGGCACAGTAAGTCCCAGTGCAGCGCTGACACAGTTCTTTTAGAAAGTGAATCCAGTGACCATAGTGCAAAGAGTACAATATAAGTTGCTGAAATAGTGTAAACATAAGAAGTAGCAGCCTATGTACAGTATAATAAATATTGTAGCAGCATAATGTAATGTGCAAAAAATTGCAAAGAGGATGGAGGATGCACAGTTGTGTGTGTGTGTATGTGTGTGTTCTTTCAGTCCAGTTTCTGAGTATTGAGGAGTCTGATGGCATGGGGGAAGAAACTGTTGCACAGTCTGGTCGTGAGGGCCCGAATGCTTTGGTACCGTTTGCCAGACGGCAGGAGGGTGAAAAGTGTGTGAGAGGGGTGTGTGGGGTCATCCACAATGCTGGTGGCTTTGCGGATGCAGCATGAGGTGTAAGTGTCTGCGATGGAGGGAAGAGAAACCCCAATGATCTTCTCAGCTATCCTCACTATCCGCTGAAGGGTCTTGCGATCCGAGACGGTGCAATTCCCAAACCAGGCAGTGATGCAGCTGCACAGGATGTTCTCGATAGTCCCTCTGTAGGACATGGTGAGGATGGGGGGTGGGAGAAAGTACAGGTGCTGCTGGGCTTTCTTTGTTATGCAGCTGGTGTTGAGCGACCAGGTGAAGTTCTCCGCCAGGCGAACACCAAGAAATTTGGTGCTCTTGACGATCTCCACGGAGGAGCCGCCGATGTTCAGCGGAGAGTGGTCATTCTGTGCTCTTCTGAAGTCAACAACCATCTCTTTAGTTTTGTCCACATTTAGAGACAGGTTGTTGGCTCTGGACCAGTCCGTTAGCCGCTGCACCTCCTCTCTGTATGCTGACTCGTCGTTCTTGCTGATGAGACCCACCACGGTCGTGTCATCGGCGAACTTGATGATGTGATTTGAGCTGTGCATTGCTACACAGTCGTGAGTCAGCAGAGTGAACAGCAGTGGACTGAGCACACAGCCCTCCCCCAGGGCTCCCCCAGTGCTCAGTGTGGTGGTGTTGGAGATGCTGTTCCCAATCCGGACTGACTGAGGTCTCCCAGGTCATTGGGAGGAGGGGTGGTCTTCCTCGCCATCACATCATTCTGTGCCTCAAACCGAGCGTAGAAGTTGTTCAGCGCATCTGGGAGGGAGGCATCACTGTCACAGGCAGTTGTCCTGTAGTTGGTGATGGCCTGGATGCCCTGCCACATGCGCCACGTGTCTCTGCTGGCCTTGAAGTGGTTGTGGATACTCTGTGCATGCATACGCTTCGCCTCTCTGATGGCCCGGGACAGTTTGGACCTCGCTGTTCTTAGGGCCACCTTGTTGCCTGCTCTGAAGGCGGAGTCTCGGGTCCTCAGTAGCGCACGCACCTCTGCAGTCATCCACGGCTTCTGGTTGGAGCGCGTGGTGATGATCTTGGAGACAGTGACGTCATCAATGCACTTGCTGATATAGCTGGTCACTGATGTCGCGTATTCCTCCAAGTTGGTGAAGTCGCCGTCAGTTGCCGCTTCCCTGAACATGTGCCAGTCAGTGTGTTCAAAACAATCCTGAAGAGCAGAGATGGCTCCTGCTGGCCAGGTTTTCACCTGCTTCAGAACCGGTTTGGAGCGTCTGACTAGTGGGTTTTTTTTTTCTTAAATCATGTTCTTTATATTTTCCAGGTTATTTGTACATTTTGGAAATGAAAAAAGTCAGCTGTATGCTGGGATTAGCATAACAGAGATGTGGTCTGAGTAGCAGAGGTGGGGGTGGGGCTCTGCCCAGTACGCGCCGGGAATGTTTGTGTAAACAAGATCCAGCACGTGCTTCCCTCTCATTGCAAAGTCCACATGCTGATGGAATTTAGGGAGCACTGACTTGAGATTTGCATGGTTGAAATCTCCGGCAACAATAAACAGTCCATCAGGGTGTGAATTCTGCAGCTTGCTAATAGCCCCATACAGTTCACAGAGCGCGTCTTTAGCATTAGCGCTGGGGGGAATGTATACACCGATTATAAGGACAGTGGTGAATTCCCATGGTAAATAAAATGGTCTGCATCTGACAGTCACAAACTCCACCAGCGATGAGCAGTAGCTAGAAACTAGCACCGAGTTCTTGCACCATTCCATGTTGATGTAAACACACAAGCCACTGCCGCGAGCCTTACCACACAGAGCTGTGTTTCTGTCGGCACGAAACAAGGCTAGCCCATCTAGCTGAATGGCGGCGTCTGGAACTCTGTTGCTGAGCCACGTCTCCGTGAAAACAAAGACGCAGCAGTCTCTAAACTCACGCCGGGTAGTTTGCTGGAGTCGGATGTAATCCAATTTATTGTCCAGGGAGCAGACATTGGAGAGCAGGATGGACGGAAGAGCCAGCCAGCTAGGGTTTGTTTTTAGCCTAGCATGGACCCCCGCCCTCTTGCCGCGCTTCAGAATTATTTGATAAAGCCAGAAGCTTCCTCCAGCTAACTAATTCGTTTTTTTCATTCACCTGTTTGTCACTTAACTTCTAACTTACATTACATTTACGGCATTTCATAGATGTCCTCGTCCAGAGCGACTTACAATTATCACATTTATATAACTGAGCAGTTAAAGGTTAAGGACTAAGACATTGGACATTAAGGGCCTTGCTCAAGGGCGCAGCAGTGAAAGTTTGGCAGTGCAGGGATTTGAACTCTCAACCTTCCGATCAAAAGTCACATGTTTTAGCCACTGAGCTACCACTTTGCCCAAGCTCTTAGATTAGCATCCCCATGTGGCAGGCACTGATTTATTGTGTTTGGCAATTAATGACCTTTATGTTTTATTTTCCTGAGTAAATTTGTCATTTTATCATGCTAGAGAAGTCCTCTGCCTGTTAGAGTGGTGAACTATGGAGTTCTGTATAAAGGCTTGCTGATATTAGCATTTTAGCATTTAGTGTTTGCCCACTCGGCTCTTCAAACACTTGAAACTGGTGTTATAACACATAAACACATGAAATTTGGCTCATTATGATTACTGACAATTAGATTTCACTTGAGTGACTTAATGTTATACACAAGTACGCAAGCTTGCATCAGAGCTCTGTGTTACCGTGTCTAATGTTAGCATTTTAGAGTTTTGCTTCTGCCCACTCGGCCATTCAATGTTTGAAACCCACGTTATAGCACTAAAACACACTAAATTCAGCTCGTAATGATTTACGAAAATTTTATTTCACTTATTCTGAGTGACTTATCATCATGTTACCAAAGTACCAAAGCTTGTTCCAATGGAGTTCTGTATAAAGACTGGCTGATTTGCTGGTCCACTTGCCCATTGAAAGCCAAGTTATTGCACTAACTTGCTCACAATTTGGCTCATTATGATTAATGCTGATTAGATTTTCCTATACTGAGTGACTTATCATGTTGCACAGGTACTTTACTTGTTACAGCAGCTGGAATTGGAACTCCGTGTCTCCTCTGTGCCAGGTGGCTTATTTTAGCGTTTAGCTGTTGCCCACTCGGCCATTCAGCCATACAAGTTATAGCACAAGAAATGAGTGAAATTTGACTCATACTGAATTATGAGGATGTTTAAGAGTGCCTTGTCAGTGAAGTGGCATTGGGGAGTGTCTATAAAATAACTGATGCAAGGCCCATCCATATTACTCTGGTCTTGAGTGAAGTCCCCCCCAGCTACATAATACACTCATGCGGCCATAATACATTTGTGAGGCCATGGCTTAAACCGCTGTTTTCTTTTTTTTTTTTCTTAAATCATGTTCTTTATATTTTCCAGGTTATTTGTACATTTTGGAAATGAAAAAAGTCAGCTATTGCCCCTTTAACATGAGCCACGTTGAGTATGCTTCATTTTTGTGCTTTCTTGCATTGGTTTAGTAAATATAGTCTGTGATTATGGACATTTTTATAAATATGCATTACCACTATACATGTTCACAAAAAATTCTTAAGTTAATTTAATGAGATTTCATGCCTATGCTCTATAGACTATGAAACCTTGACAAGTTTTGGACTTTAATTAGAGCCAGAGCACCCTGCTGCAGTAGGACATGATCCCTCGTTGCTCAGCGGAATAAAGCGGTTTTTATTCTTGCATGAGATATGTAATTTCTTACAGCAACATGCACTTACTGTATATTTACAATTTCACCTTGAATGTGTTATGATTGTGACACCTGTAATTTCAGTTTGCACTCATACACTATAACTCAGGCTTGAACTTGAGACCCTGGACCTATGAAGCAGCAGCGCTATCTGCTGTGCCACCGTGCTGCCCGCAAAAAATCCAATCAGAGGAAATGCTTATTCGTTTGAGACAAATCTTTGACTGAAGTATTCTGGATCATTCATACGTATATCCTGAAACTGTAGGGAATGACATAAATAAATTTATTAGTTCCCTGGTGAGCTAAAGATCCCGTGCTCTGACTGTTGCGGCCCGGGTTTGATTTCCAGGCAGGGAACCAACCCAGCCCCTGGGAGTGTACTCTCAGTGACAGTCTCAAGCCCAGGTAAAATGGAAGGGTTGCATCAGGAAGAGCATCCGGTGTAAAACCTGTGCCAAATCAAACATGCGGACCAATGAACCTCTGTGGTGACCCCTAAATTTATTGAAGCTGGAACACCATTATTAACTACAGAAATGCTAAATAAATGTCATGACAAATTAAACATAGCAAAAGTAATCCCTATAATTATTTTATAATTACTAATTTGATGTGAAATTACAATTGCAGGCAGTGATGAGAGGAAATGCAAATAAACCTTTGTATTGTCAGTTTCAGGAGTCAGTGAGATGGTTGGACAGCAAGGTCAGAGTAACAGTATCTATCATATGTAAAATATATATCTAATGTGTACATAGTATCCCACCTGCCAACCTCATCCTTCAACTATCCCCCAAGTATATTATCTGTGCGAAACATTGCTAGCATTCCCCCATGGGGACCCAGGATAGAATAGGTCCCTAGCACCTCTTTGCTGATTGTAAGAGGTGACAAATGGGGCAAAAAGTTTGCGTGAGTTGTGACCTGTGATTGTGGAGGAAGAGATCCTGGCATTTACTGTAAGGAATGCGGCTGCGGCTACCACAAGTTCAAAACAGTTCTTTGGCCTCTACTTCACATAGACAGGAGGTTGGAAGGGCCAATTCCAGTCAAGCAGCTGGTCAGGACTTGCCCTGGGTTCTACCCTTTTTGGCATTAATATCAGCCATTTCTTTACTCTTCCCAGAAGTCATTGGCTAAGGGTCAATCAAGCAATGTAATTACTTCACGTGACGGCTTGAGTTTACCACCCCTATATCCCTAATGCATATCTGCAAGATGTCCACGGCTCTGTGCATCTTCTTGTTGGGCTGCAAGGTGAGTAGGGAGTAGGAGTGATGAAACAAAAAACATATAGACATGACTACCAAACAAACCCCCGAAAAGGATACTGGATCAGGATTTATATCTTGATTCATTAACTAGAAATTCTTTTTATTTGTCATTTGAAGAAATTCTTTTTTTTGTCATTTGACAACTGGCAGAGGTATGTAATCCTAGAATCTCTATCACCAGACATGCCCCTTATCAAGCTGTCTCCTTTTGCCATACAACATGGCATCTCAGGAATTGCAGGGACAGTCAAAGATCCAAAAAATTGTGGTCTGGCCAGATTCTGGTGGAGTGCTCAAAGAAGGCGCAAGCAGAGAATCTTTTACATGCCACTGAATTGGCTAGTACTCATATAAAAGGCCTTCCCTCATCCATCTCCGAACAGCAGTAAAGGAGTAGCACTACATCGCTAGAGGAAATGGATGAGGCTGAAATAGCCTCAGAACTGACAACAGTGTGTGATAGACGTCAAAAGAATAACAATCAAAAAACAAGATCGAATTATTAAAACCATCACCTGTATCATGACCTTTGATAGGCCACAACCACCAGAAAAGATTCTAATAGGCTACCAAAGAGTATGTGTTAATTTATGTATACCCAACCCACTAAGATGCTTCAACTGCCAGAAATTTGGTCATGGATCAGCAAGCTGTAAAAACAAGCTGCAATCGTGGAGAAGAAGTACATGAACATATCTGCCAAAAACAACCAAGGTGTTGCAAATGTGCTGATGAACATAGTGCCTCAAAAGTCTGCCCTGTCTGGGGCAGATATCCAGAGAATGAAATGTGTTAAGAAAGATAGCTACCCTGAAGCACATAAATTGGTTGAAGGCCTTCCTTCCTTTAACCTAGAGAGATCATTTGCATCCATAGTGAAGTCCACACGAACAGGCAAAAGCCAGACAGAATTGACCTGGATGAACAAAGAAAAACCTCAACCAATTAGTAGTAATAAGTATCCCCCTCCACAAAAAAACAAAATAATACACTCAGAACTCAACCATACTCAACCTGATCAAGACCCAGCCAGAATGAAAGCTCCTCAAGAGAACAATCTACAATCAGTACACTTAACACTCCACAAACCCATTACACTGTGCTCCATCTATGTACCACCTGAGTGACACTACAAGACCTGGACGACCTCATAGATCAGATGAAATCCCCATATGCCCTCATGGGTGATTTTAACAGCCAGAATCCACTATGGGCAAAAGACATGCAACAAAGAGCACAAAAGATCCATCCATCCATTCTCTATACCACTTATCCTGCACAGGGTCACAAGGTAACTAATCTAACTAATGTTAATTGCATACACACACTCTCACACCACAGGCAATTTGGAAACATCACTCAGCCTACAACACGTCTTTGCGCCGAGGGAGAAAACCCCCAAAGCCCAGGGCAGAAGCTCTGCACACACAGGGTAGAGACAGGACTCGAACCCCCAATCCCAGAGGCACGAGGCAACAATGCTAACCACTAAGCTACCAGAGCACAATAGTGGCAGCCTAAAAAGCTAGCTGGCCTTCCTTTCAGACCCTGTGCCTGGAGAAGTTTAAGATCGAGCTTCAATATATCCATGACCCAATAAAGTGGTTCACGCATACTCTACTATCAGTAGCAGATGAAGTTATCCAAAAGACATCATTTATCAATAATTTTGCACAATCGTTTTCATCTGCTGTATTTTTCACTTTCCTTTCTGCCGTATTTTCATTTTTTCGAAGAACACTTTTGTTTTTTTGTCAAGACAGCAAGCGGAGGCCATCCACACCGGATCCGTGCCGTCTAAAATAATATCAACTAATCTTCGATTAAGGTATGTTAAATAACATGTCAAACATTCAGCTTGTTCAGTGTGTTGAGTGCAGGATGTTTAGTCTTTCTAGGCGTCACACAATAACCTACTCATAAATTCAACGTGTTTGAAGTTTTTTTATACCATTACATATGTTTTATAACATAACATACATAGCCACAAAAATTAGTCTACCCAGACAATTCCACTAATTATTATTTACCGACCCCAGGCCCATATTCTGAATTCCTTTGTGAATTTGCAGATTTCATCTCTAACTTGGTTGTTTCTTTAGATAAAGTGTTAATTGTTAGAGACTTTAATATTCATTTTCATAACCCAGAAGACCCTCTGAGAACAGCGGTTGTGTTCATTCTATATTTAGTAGGGGTTAATCAGAATGTAATAGGATGCACTCATACTTGTGTTCACACTCTTGATTTCGGATTCGGATTAAATATAGAAAATATAGACACATTTTGGCAGTCTGAAGCTATCTCAGATCATTATCTCATCTCATTTAAAATGTGTCTTAATCATAATATATGCACTT